CATTTAATGTCGGTATCAAAGTGGCTAACGAAGCTAGGAGGAGGTAAGTTCGGAAATTGCTCAGTTATTAACAAGCATCCCGAAACAGTTCCTGATACAAGTACGCGTTTTAGAGAAGGGATTCCATTTCGGAGAATGATAAAGCGCGACGAAAAGGAAAAGGCGAAGAATATTATATTCAATCACATAATGAAGAACCCAAAAGCAAAAGCAACAGAGATTCACGCCTTACTCAAACATCGCCACAAGATAACAGTTAATTCACAGTCGGTGTCGAAGTGGCTAATCGAAGCTAGGAGGAGGTAAGTTCGGAAATTGCTCAGGTTATTAACAAGCATCCCAAAACAGTTCCTGATACAAGTACGCGTTTTAGAGAAGGGATTCCATTTCGGAGAATGATAAAGCGCGACAAAAAGGAAAAGGCGAAGAATATTATATTCAATCACATAATGAAGAACCCAAATGCAAAAGCAACAGAGATTCACGCAGCACTCAAATATCGCCACAAGATAACAGTTAATTTTGGGTCGGTATCGAAGTGGCTAAACGAGGCTAAGAAGCGGTAAGTTCGGAAATTGTTCAGGTTATTAACTAACATCCAGAAACAGTTCATTATATAAGTACACGCTTTAGCGAAGAGCAGGCAAGGCCAATGATACAGTCCGACGTGAGAAAAAAGGCGAACAGTATTATATTTGATAACTTAAGAAAGGAACCAACCGCACGAATATCAGACATTCATGCCACACTCAAAGAACACTACAAGATAATAGTTAGTTTATCGACGGTAAGAAGATGGACTAAGGAAATTATGAAACGGTAAGTTGCTATATAGGTACATAGCGGTCATCGATAGCAAAATTTATATTCGCTATAGTTCCTTCAGATGTCATTTTAACACATAAACATGAGTAAACATATGTATATTTAATGAAATTTTATCATGTGTCACAATTAATACCAAATAATCCTTCTCTTGTACTAGAATTGTATCAATACATGCAACATATTCGCTATTAATAATTAATAATATAAATTATGCGAATATAACAGAACTTTAATCACACAGCATTTATTTGAGAAACTATGCGCACGGGAGTTTGTCGGTGCACACACGTGAAAACGATACAAATGTAGAACTTCTTGTGCGCATGTACCTAGAGCTATTGAATTTAATTCCTTATGAGATCGAAATGTTTGGTACTATTTATCGATAATAAAAATATATTAGTTAAAAGTTAAGTTGAAAATGCGAAACAATACAGATCTTTGCGACTCAATAGCAAGATGATTTATTATTGCAATATTATTACTTATTTGTAATTTTTACCCTTCTCTACGCATTGTCGCGGCCGTTTAGCAAATGTCACGTAACGTTAACATCATTTTTAAATTAG